TTTTGGAAATCTCCTGAAGAACAGCAGGACTAAAGTTACTCAGGTGAGCATTGTGGCCCATGGGTCTCTTGTTCACAAAAATCTTTAACAATACTTGGTTGTTAAAGATTTCTCTCTGACTAAAAAAAGAGTATATTTCTTTACCTTTCATATATACCTTGGTAAAGTAAAGTCTTTTCCCAAGATAGATATCGATTTTACATTACATCATCACTCAACGTTTGAAGTTGATAGCCAGCGAAAATGTCTAATCAATATCGATCCTTAAATTTATCGATAAAACTTCCATTTGTTTACAACACTTAATAAAGAAATGTAGTTCAGTGATAAATGAAGGGCTGGTTTTAGTCCTTCTATACTTTATGTTTCAATTATCCTTTGAAACCTCTATGAAGAGTATACATTAATTGCATAAAATTAACGTAGACTTATTTTTTTATTCCCTATTGTTGGGTAACCTTAGTCGTTGAGAACCGTGATTTTAAATATTCCTAGTCTATGCCTAGAAGTTTTCAAATAAATTATGAAACTGATATCTTTCTTTAGAGCGATAGGGTCGTTAAATTTAACATAGGTACATGTTCTTAACTTGTGTTTTTTGTGGACTCTGGTACCCTCGTTTTGGAGAAGAAAGTGATAGACGGACAGACGAGTAATAAATGTCAATCAGAAAAGCTTAGTGCCTCTGAAGTGAAAAAATTATAGGTTACTTTGCTAGACATGTCTGAGCATGAAGTTCAGTATGGGATGGATTCTACATTTTCTCTCATGTGAATTATATGACATTGTGATGGTATGCTACTTTCGATTCATCTTTTGTGGTAACAATGTAACAAGATGCACGGCATTCGGTTTGTAATATGTTGTGATTGAAGCAATTTAATTTACATTTCATGGTACACCTAACATTTATCTCTGCTTGTGGTTCGGTCGTACTTTTGCAACATGAGTAGCCCACAGAATAACAAAAATAAACTGGCTAATGCGTTTCTAGTACATGCATAGTCCGAAATATCTGACGTTTTCCTGGCTTTTTTACTATTTTTATATTTTACGTGCTAGGAAAACGTCAGAACCGGCACCATTACGAAAACTGGAAAGAAATGGTAACGGCCGAATCTAGCCCCTTATTTGATGTAAAAATCCGAACGCAGGTAAAATTGTGATAGATTGTAGTTAAAAACTTCAAATGATGCGTGTTTTAAAACATTTCGGACATTTTAGGACAGTTTCCCGAATTTCCTCAATTCTGGTGGAATTTTGTCAAAGTTCAGATACTTTTCACTTCGGGAAACATAGAGCACAAGCTTGCCTATATATATTTTTTTATACATAAGATGCATCTGATACTAGGGTATGAAATATATAAATTTGGTAGATAGGCAAGCTTGTGCTCTATGTTTTCTGAAACAAAATGTTCTGTAAAATCGATCAAAATTTGCATGAAAATGAGAAAATTCGGAAATTGACATATTTTCTGACCTTCCTGTGACCTCTGTGTATCCAATAACTTAGAAACCAATACTCATTTCGTGGCAGGGGTGACAACAGGTTTTTACTGATAAACTGTTGCATCATTCTAAAAGACATCCCAAATCAGGGGCCAAATCTTGTCCTTTCGCCGTCTCCAATCGGAGTTGATTTTCGATACCTGGAAGAGAACTAAATGCCGTTTTCACAATTTATCAAAAGCACAATGCTGATAATACTCAATAAAAAAATCGATGAAAAGAAAACATCACTCATCATTTCGATACAAGACTTGAAAGATTTTAAAAAGCACGAAATAAAAATAAATCTCGGAAGTCAGATAAAATGTTTTCATCGGATTGTATATTTTATAAACAAACAATAAAAACGATGTTGATGAGTACTAAAAGCATTGTACTAATCTATTGATAAATTGTGAGTTTGACATTTCATTCGCTTTGCAAGTATCGAAAATCAACTCGGTTCTGACGTTTTCAAAATCGTGAAAAAAAACTGGAAAACGTCAGATATTTCGGACTAGTACATACATAACCAGAAGTCTCTGACGAGACTGTAGCTCTACTAGTTGTACTTATAAAAGAAGATAAAAGTAGCACTTGGACTTGAAACTTTGCAACAGCAATAAACAGAATAATGATCCCTGGTTTAGTCTCTTTTTGTGGCAAGATTTATTGCAATCAGACTAAAACTGTAGGAGGAGTAGCCTTTTAAAACAATTTTACAGAAATTTGGATTTAAGTAACCATGGCAACATCATTCAACAAAATCAAAAAACATTAACGACAATTATGTATCTCAATGTATTCTACTTGTAATTGCCAAGTTATACTGAAAGCAGACAAAAGTGTAGGAGGAGTAGCATTTTGAAAGTATTTCAAAGAAATTTGTATTTTTAGTAACCATGGCAACACCGTCCTTTGAAATCAAAAACCGATACACAGAATTATGCATCTTATTATAGTCTACTTGTGTGCCAAATTATACTGAAATCGGACCAACTGTAGGAAGAGTAGCATTTTGAACGAATTTCACAGAAATTTGTATTTTTAGTAACCATGGCAACACCGTTCATTGAAATCAAAATCTGATACACAGAATTATGTATCTTATTATAGTCTACTTGTGTGCCAAGTTATCTTGATATCAGATCAAAACTGTAGGAGGAGTAGCAGTATTTCCCAGAAATCTCTATTTTTAGTAACCATGGCAACACCGTTCATTGAAATCAAAATCCGATATACAAAGTTATGTATCTTAGTGTAGTCTACTTGTGTGCCAAGTTATATTGAAATCAGATAAAAACTGTAGGAGGAGTAGCGTTTTGAAAAAGTGTTTACAGACAGACAGCCGGACGGACGGACGACGTACACCTTACTCTCGCATAAGCTCTTCTGGTCTCTCACCAGTAGAGCTAAAAACGAACTCTTTTCAGTCTTTAAGGGACACAGACTCAAAGAATTCGGCTGGTTTCTCTCGAATTATCATTCGGGATACTGTCGTACGTGCAGTCGTCATATAACCCGTTTAAGTATAAATGCAACAATTCATATAAAAATTGAATAATTTTAAAGTTTCAATTAAAGATAGGCCTATATTAGTTTCTTTTTCGGATCCATATCTTATATTTCTAAAAGTTTTGCCAAAAAACTGCAAAATATGTGATAATTTGTTTACTAATTGTTCATTTATCAGAATTTAACTCTCACTACACAAAGTTTCAATAAACTAGCTGTTGGAATTACCTAATCGTGCCCCGGTATTAGCAGATCCGTTTTTGTATTCATATGAAGCAGAATACAATCAAAAACTACTACATAAAAAAGTCTCCTGTTGTGGTCTTCAGTTCGACAGTTAGATATCTACGACGTTTTATCAATAACAATATTTATTTTCATTTCTTCGTTTATTCGATATAACCCATTCAAGTCGAAATAAAAGACACCACAGAGTCTGACACATCTCCTTCGTATTTGGAAATTTTACTTCAGAAAAACATTGGTAGAAAACTAACAACTAAACTGTTCTATCGTCAACTTCCCTTATTTATGAAGCCATATGTACTTTTACATGTAGTCTCTTCTGGTTTCAACGGTAGAGGACTAATGATGTCTACCTGGAATAACATCATGCATTAAATAAAAAGGTTATTCTCTTCTGTGAAACGAACAGTTATCATGCTCAAAGTGCAACAGAATATTACAAATTGGAAGTAAAGCAAACACAGACCCCTGGAAACATCAGAGATGGGATCGGGTGCCATGGAAGAGTAAGCATCCCCTGTCAAGCAGCCATACCCGACGTGGGCCCTCAATCTTGATCGGGAAAATGGAGAAATCCGTAGGACAATTTGTGTTAAAAATGTCAGTCGACCTAACGAAAGGTTGTACAGTGAAACCTGTCTTATCCGACATGCTGTGGGAAATAAAATCAATGTCGGATTAGACAGTGTGTCGGATTACTCAGTGTTGAATATTTCTTAGCATTATTATTGGTGTCAGATGACTTCAAAAATCATTTATCATTATGTCAGATTACCCAGGTGAAATCATAATGTAATTATCTGGTTTTGTTGACAAAAAAGCGCCGAAATTCGAAATGTACAGTGGTCGGAATATACAGTGTTTTGTTCTATATGAAATATAAAGAAATTTTTGGGAATAAAATATGAGGTCGGAAAGTCCAGTGTGCCGGATTGCACAGTTGTCGGATTGGACAGTGGGCACTGTATTTGCAAACAAGTTAATTGCCTCGACCACTGAATCTGCAAAATATATTGACTTTAAAAGAAATTGTTCATACCCTTGCAATTTCAACTTATAAGTGGTTTAGAAATTGATTATACATGAACAGAACATGCCCTTGCGTATAGATTCAACTGGGGGGGGGGGGTACATGTATATGCACCATATGCAAGTAATAATGGTACATATTGCTACAAAAATAATGAAATTGACGATAGAATAGTTGAAGTCATCAAGTTTATCATTTTGCCATCAGTTTTTTCTCTAGTAAAACATCCAAATATGAAACAGATATGTCAGACTTTTTGTCTCTTTTACTTCGAGTTCAGCGGTAGATATCGAATCAAAATGAATATTGTTTATTGATAAAACATCGTCAATCGTATATATATATAAGTTGAATTGGAGGGAACAGCAATGTTATTTTAATATCTCTTTTTATTGTCGATACACGATTTAGATGTCGAATTGCTAAGGACATTTAACATGCTGAACTCTCCACGCAGTTGTACAAGCTATATGATATTTAAAATAGTCATTACTGAAGATTAATTTGTCATTTTATATTACCTACAAATACTATAAAACTTTCTTATATAGATACTCAGAAGTTTTAACATATATAGTGAATATAAACGAGAAAGCAGAAAGAGCTACTCTCCGAAAATACCATTCCTACTTCTTTTATTTCATGAAACAAAAAAAAATCTGTATGATATTTATTTTACTTCGGTAGATTGTAACAATGAATTAAACACTGAAGAATTTGATTTGAAATCGACTCGGGAGAAAAGTCATGTATATGCCTAACTGTAAGTTTGAATACTCAAAAAATATATTCCACTGCATCAATTTGCTTGCCTGTTTTATTGACATTATTGCTTATTAAGAAAGATGATTTAGTTAATAAATGCTTTTTGAAAATAGTTTATAATTAGTAGTCAGATATCATTTCAGATTTAACAGCATGGGAAATTGAAGAATTGTACGAGAGATGTGCAGATTTTGCAGAAGAAACCGACTACAGACATGTTCCAATATACCAAATGTGGCGCGACAAACCCGACCATTACTGGAAAGATATTTTTCAAAATAAAGGCGGCGCTATGATTCCTTACATGAAAGATTTCAATGGAGATCAGAGGTCCGCCATTAACGGAAATATTAAGGGTCTGTTTTTTGGATGCGGGTTAGATCGCAAGAGAATAAAGCCGCCATATTTCTCCTATTTTGGAAATCAACGTCTGCTTGTTGATTCAGATTTTATCTTAAACAAGTCCAAAAATTTGTATTTTGCGGATTTTTACTGTCACTACCAGTATCACTATGCGACGTTAGTCGTGACGAATCCGGGGTCAAAGCAAGACAGCTTTTGCCAGGAACACGAACTTTTTGAACTTGACATTTTTGATAACCCGTTTCTCTACCTAGGCGACTCAAGAGGAAACGAGCCTAAACCAGTGTACGTTACCCTTGGGGTCCGAGTAGAAGTATTTGTGACCAATAAGATGAATATTCCTCATTTGCTGAAAATAAGAAAAGGACGAATGATGGATGTACAGCCCCGCGGCCGCGGTCGCAGTCATAAGAATGGGATCCCCAAGAAAGAGGTGTGCGACATTTGCAACATAAACCCTGTGTCTTACAATAGGTGGATGGGGAATATCTGGTATTAGTGATCTATTGGCTCTGTCATCATACGCTTTGCGCTAAGTTTAATTTCCAGAAAACATGAAAAAAATATGGAGGGATTATATGAAGTGGGTCAAAATATTTCTTTCAATGGGGAGAACTCGAAAATGAAATGTGTATCTTGATTGCACCCCCTTCAGTGAACGAGCCAATAGTATGGTGTGTAAAAAAAAATACATGTACATGAAAAGTAATTGAGTCAATCAAAAATATCTCTATCGTAGAAATATCCCAAAAAGCAAATTTCAATATTGCACAATCTTTGACATACTCTACAATAAATTCCAGAGTCAATTCTTTATCCGAATAATACGATCCCCTTGACTTTAATGCCATAATAATCCGACTGTCAATTATAATTACTTTAAAATTATATGGATTTTAAATTTTAAAATTTCCAGTGTACATGTATGTTATTTCACCCTTTTAACTTATTTTAAGCTATGCCAAAGATTTGGATATTGTGTTCTTGTTAGTATCAAGTTATTTTATTGAAGAATATTTTTAAAGAAAACGTTATATTAAAGTTTCTTTTAACCATTATATGCTCATTTACATGTACAGTAGTTAAATTCTATTATTTATAAGATTTACTAGATGCATGCATATTGACGGCATTTCATTTACGGTATAGATAATACAGCCAAGTCAAAAATATTTTGAAGACATTTTCAGATACATGTATATAGAGTGTGACATACTGGTCCACCGTCAAATGATTGATTCACGGGTCTTTCGGAGAAGGCCTTAAACCTTTTGGACTATTCTGGCACAAAAAAGAAATCGTAAAGTATTGGCAAAGCATTTGGAAACTTCAAATGTTGCCACTACAGCTTTACATGTAGCAGGTGACGTCTCAATATAAACACCCTTTCATAGAATTTTTTTTTAACTATGTGTGCATTATTATCTTATATTTGGGGTTTAATTGTTCATATCTAAAGAAAGTGTTTTTGTCCAACTGTACCTTTAAAGATAACCCATATTGTGTATTTTCTTCCCCCCCCCCCCCTGCCCCCGCTGACCCGATCCACTACCATTTTTTTTTAATTTCTTCTATTTGTACATGTACTTTATAGGACTTCCCAAAAAGTTACGTTTTTGCGGAGTTTCCACTCTAAATTTTCATATAGATCTACAAGGTGGGAGTGACACTATACTCTGTATAAATGTTCTTCAATTCTTGAAACACGGGATAGGGTCTTCAGCCCTCTGCAGATTCCGCGCTTTTCTCTCGATCTGCATTCAATAATAAATGCATGTTGCAGGCACGTACACTATAGTATACCCCCCTTCTCGCTGTTTTTTGTTGCAAAGAGAGGGGGACCTCCCCAACCCCATCCTCACGAAATAGGTTTTGGGCAGTTTTCGATTCATTATTTTTTTAAAATTATTTGTGCCAAAGTTCTTTCAGGTACATTTTTGCTTCTCAGTTATTTTTGGTTGGCCTATCCCCCCGTGGTGCTGGGTCCCTGTGTTTTCTCAATTATTTTTGGTTGGCCTATCCCCCTCATGGTGCTGCGTCCCTGTGTTTTCTCAATTATTTTTGGTTGGCCTATCCCCCTCATGGTGCTGTGTCCCTGTGTTGAGCCAATATTTTTGACCAATACAGTCATATAGATTGGACGTCGTTAATTATGGTCAACAGTTATTATTTAATTGAGTCTTTTACGTAGTATATGATTTCAGATATACTTTCATAATATATGTGTATAAATTTTTGAATTTATATTAAATTGGTGAAATAAAATATGGCAAAATACTAAAAATTGCGTTTTTGTTTTATCGAATCAAAGCAAGTAATAAAATACACCTTCTGTTATGTGATCCAGGGGCTATACAGTGTATAGACTTAATGTACAAGTAGATTAATAAAAATAATTTCTCAAAAATAATTCCGCATCCTTCGACATGTCATTTATATTTTAAATTTATATAATGTATTAGGAATTTAAAAGATAATGAAGTAATTTGTTTTTGTTTTTTTTCATGTATTTTTTAACCTTCATACAAACCTTACATTCGGTTCGATATGTGATACGGGTTTTCGGACCGGTCGTTGATATTGGGTATTGTGACGTCACCCGTATCGCACAGTGCGGAATCGGTGCATATTACTTTTAGTAGTACACACCAGGCCACCATATGAGTGAAAAATTCTTGAGAGGAACGTTAGACAGCACACCAGGCCCGTAGGAAGCAATTTCAGTTGGGATGGCACAGCCATACATTTTCAGTTGAGGGGGCACTATCAACTACAAAAATTCCTTGACAAGAAAAAAAAGGTCATCAGATGTTTTAATTGAGGGGACACAAGCGTATAGTATCTATTTTTTCTATAGTACTCTATATATCGGCAAAATTATTTGGGGGGCATTTGCCATCGTCTCAAGCAGGCGCGGATCCAGGAATTTTTTCCGGGGGGGGGGGGGTTCCACCCCAATCAAAAAAAATTTCCAACCCAAAAATTTCTTGGCAAGCAAAAAAACAAACAAACAAACAAACAACCCCCCTCCCCCCATTAACGTGAAAAACACATATTTCGTGGTGGTGATGGTGAGTCCACGTCTTCTAGCGGGGGGGGGGTGTCCAAAGTCATTTTTATTTGCCTCAGTATATACGTTTAGTAACTCTGCAAATTCGGGGAGGGGGGGTCTGGACCGCCCCGAACCCCCCCCCCCACCTCTCTAGATCCGCGCATGTCAAGCCACGGTCCGGAGTCGCTCATAGCTCTCTCCGAGAGGATCGTACATTTTGGCCGTGGTTTGCGACGATGGCCAGGTAAAATAAATTATGAAATATAATGTGTTAATTCAATTCTGAAAAGTTGACAGGGGCCCGGGCGGACCCAGAATTTGAAGTTGGTGGAGGAGGGTTATGCGTGCATCTAGAGGGGTGTCGGGCATTGTTTATTGGAAATTTATTGATTGGGGTGGACCCCCCTGGAAAAAATTCCTGGATCCGCGCCTGAGGATTAATTGTAAGGAGGTTTGAGGGCCGCCTTGAGGCCTCCAGAGTGTCCAGATCAAAGGTCCTCAATTCTAGAGATTTAGTAGTGCAAAAATGAAGTCTGTAAGAAGACAATTTTACTATTTCTTTTTGTCACAATTTATGATAAGAATTAATAAAACTTCTAATATTTTAAAGGGATGGGACACAGATTTGAAGCTCATATTTTCCTAGAGCACTTCACACTGAAATATATTAAAAGCGTGCTAAGAAAATTTTTTATCTGGAAATTATTAAAACAACGATTTTCGGTTGTTTTTGTATGCTTGTCAAAGAACTTCTGTGTCGGATTTTTTTTTTCATATATGAGATCATTTTAAAATTCCTGGATCCACCCATAGAAAATTAAAGAGTGGCTTTTCAAATCAAATGCCTTTGAATAAAGGGGGAAAACAGAATTGAAACACTGAATCACATATTTACATGAGAAAAAGTACGTGACTTTGACTTTGTTCTCCAGTCTTTTGGGAGGGAGGGGGGGGGGATTATTCACATAATTTACATTTTTTTAAAAATATAGATACGTTGTGTATTACTATTTGGTTTATTATCCAAATCAATCTATAGACCCCCCCTCCCCTTTCCACACGCACACACACACACATCTAAACAAAAATCAACATGACCGATCAGTTCTAAGTCGCAGTTGAGTATTCTGAAAGGGGATATTCCGGAAAATATATTGCTGTCCGTCGACACCAAAATCGCGTAAACGTAATTTCCTGTTTACTCACCAAGGTGCTTTTTCGAAGTGCACGAAGACGGAGGTAAATTTGAATTTTTAGATTATATATAATATACCTTACGTTTCATCATCAAGGATCTGTATTCGTCTTAGACTTGTTTGAAATTATATATAGTTCACGTCTCTGATTCAGAGTAAACAATACTAAGTGTATTAATTAGTGGTCTTCTACAATTACAACAATGTACATGTATTTGTGGAAGTGACCACTGGTCAGACCGTGGCCTACTGAGGCTACTACATGTACGTAGACCTACTTGGCATCAAGTGCAGTATGTATTCGCTTACGGGCGGATCCATTAATAAATGGGATACGGACCCCTTCAACTGTTTATATCGCAAAAATCGTTTTATTTTCTCAACACTCTACATCTGTCATAATTCATCATTTTAAAATTAAATTTTAAATGCTGTGTATGCAGAGTCACAATATGGGGTCCATATTTTTTCATAGGAATAAAGAGGGGAAATATTTAAATGATTTTGAAATCACCTGATGAAGAACAGCATGGCCAAGTTGTATCAAGTTAGCATTGTGGCCCATCAATTCCCTTCTTCCAGAACCAATGGACCAATAAAATTTCAGCTCAAAATAGACAATTTTTAAGGGAATCTGTGTTCAAATGATAAATCATGCTCCTTTCCAAGGGGAGATAATAAAAGAAAATTTTAAAAAAAATTCTCAAGAATTATTGGATCATATAGAATATGTGTAAAAAAAAAAAATCAGTTTTCTTGTGGTGTACATTCAAATTGACAAATAAAAACCCTTTGGTATAAAGTAGGACGGAATACTAGAGAGGGTCAAAGTATTACAAAGAAGTGTGCAAAAGTCATATATGGCAAGTTTTGACTAAGTTCAAATAACCAGAATTAAAAATATCTTTCTATTTGATTTATAACTTTATAAAAAGATAGGACTTATTTGTAAATTACACAATTTAAATCAACCGCGTTTCAAAGATATCACAAGATTAAAACAATAACCGATTTATTTAATATCGACTCCACATTTAAATAAAAGACAATTATTAAATTTAATTAAAGAAACGTGAATTTATTCGAGTTCAAAATGGGTGAAAATTTTAATTTGAACGTAAATAACATATATATCATGTAAATCTACACTAATCTCCTATTATCATTTTTTAGCTCAGATACGATATACATGTAGCCATATATAGCTTTAAGAATTTTATTTTAAAAAAAATCTAAAAATCTTATGAAAACACTTTCAGCACGTTCACAGCAGAATTTTCAACATAATTACTGAGAAAATTTGAGGCGCGTGTGTGGTGGTGATAGGGGTGGGGGGTGGGGGGGGCAATTTTATTTGCATCAGATTTAAAACGGATTTAATCAATATGCAAAGAATTGAAAGGAATGTACTTTGACCCATTTTTGAACTTGCATATGTAGCATTTGACCAAATTGACCAGACAAATAAAACGATAGATTTTTTTTTTACTTTTAAGTAATATTTTCTATCAAAAAAAAAAAAAAAAAAAAAAAGAAAGAAAGAAAAACAAAATTTTTGACCATTTGCCTCCCCTAACTGGAACACTTGGATCAGCCCCTTTAATTATAGGCATATTGATGTACAAAGTACATACATATACATGCATTGAAATAAAAAAAACCTAACAATATTTATTGTGCTGAAATTTTTTAAAAGGGTCATCGAAAGAACTTGACTCGATACGTTAATATCAAAGAAACATGTATACTGTAATGTTTTCATGTTATAAAAGCATGAAATATGCACAAATAACCAAAGAAGTTCGATAAAATATACGTACTAAGATGTACACGTGCATCTAGTCACAAATCTTTTTTTTTTAATGCTCCCACCCCAGGTTTGTCATGTAAATGTTTGCCCATGTTATGGAAAGTAAAGATATGGGCACTGCCGATGCACATTCAGTGTTTGTTGAAGATTGTACATGTAATTACTGTGTAAAAAATATCAATTTCTTATGAAGGTTTTATGACTGTTATTGTTCATTTAAGACATAAAAAAAGGAATAAAACGTGACATAAAAACAAATTTCATTGTATGAACTATAAAATTTTATTACTATTGTGTTATTTCATTCATTTATTTTTTTCAGTCTGTCACTAGAAAACCAAGACGTCCAGAGAGAATTTTAAAATGACCTCCAGCGAGGGTACATGTAAGTTTTAATAAAATATTTACGTGGATAAAAAATAAACGAGAATTATCGATTATACTCCAGTTTATAAATTGATAAACTATCTATACCTTTGTAGAACTACTTGATATTTGTCAATTTTAAGGAACTTTTTCTTTCAAGCGATATCAGCAAACTAAATAGTATGCACATTTTTGTATTTTAAATATATTCTCGATTCGAATTGTGATTTCTTTGTAATCTGTTCCTTGAAGGCCGTGAGTTGTTATCTTCTTGGAAGATGTCATTTTTAACTTGTATCTCCTATTTTTAAAGTTTTGACAGATCAGCAGCTGACGATGCTATATGACAAAAGCGTGGAGGTGATCTGCAAAAGAGATCGCCGCTTCGCTCCCCTGCCGGCCATGTGGCGTGACAAGGCTACTGCGTACTGGGACAGAATCCGTCTTAAATACAACGGTTTTATGATCCCATACAGAAAGGACTTCAACGGAACGCCGGGATCCGCCATTAACGGGAATCTGATGGGGCTTTTTTTCAATGCTAGTCTTCACAAGAAGACTAAAAAGCCTCCAACATTTTCTTACTTCGGAAATCAACGTCTGATGGTCAACTCCTCCTTCATCGTTAACGTCCATCAGAATATTTATTTTGTTGACTTTTATTGTCACAACCTTCGGGATCATTACGTCACACTTGTTGTTGCACGTCCAGGGTCAGTCGTTGACAATTTCTGCCAGAGGAACTTGAAGCAAATTAACATCTTCAATAACCCGTTCTTGAAGATTGTCAATGGAAAATTGTACGTAACTTTGGGTGCGAACATAGAAGTATTTTACACAGATATTGTGGACGTTAACCGAGTTGTTCATGATAGGATTGGCAGGTTTTCCCCCGTCACATTCCGAGGGATGGGCAGCAAGGAATTTGGAATTGCTAAAAATCTAAGCTGTAAAGTCTGTAACCTGTGGTAAAATGACAAATTAAAAAAAAACATTTTTCAAAAAATTAGAAAAGACTCGGAATGATTTTAGCAGATATATTAACGTATACAGATCGTGCGGATTTAGTGCCTTTGTTTTTATTGAATCTTTTTTAGCTGTATAGAGTCTCAAACATTTTGTAGCTATTCGAATGAATTGAATATTGTTTGATCATGAAGAATTACAGAAAATTCTCATTAAAATAGTGCTTGTGAAATCCATGGATATAGTATTTAATTTTATCTTTGTTTTATCTTTCTACTCTTTCCGATTCTCCCCTCCCTGATATTTCATTGCTTTACTTAAATGTTATTTGCTATCTTTTGTTTGTACCAAATGTTGAATAAAAGAAAAAAAACTCTTAGTTCATGCTCTTTATTTTTGTAATATTTTATTCATGTTACGGATGCCAATTATAAAGAACAATTGGTTTATTTCAACGCCATTATTGATGATAGACATCAATTTACCAACATTTAAAGAGAGTAAAACAACCTCTTTGATTGCATGCAAGTATTCAATTGTAAAAAAAAAAATAATTGTTTTTTTTAAGTTATCTTTATCTTTGCAAGCCAAGGATTTTCGGTTTGCCATACTCTCCGTAAACCCCTTTGTCTTACGGACACATTGTGAGTGGTCATTGGAGAAAGTATTATTATTATGTGGTACATGTAATTGAATAAAGTTGAGGTCATTACAGGAAATAACACGGCTCCTCCTATTTTATGATGTATGAGGTCCAGAAATATGCGAATTGTCGGTTTTCTGTAGTATGTGGGGGAGAGGTGTACTCCCCCACTCTTTCCAAACATAACTTATTACTAGGCCTAGTGAAAATGTTCATTGAAAGGCTGGTTTCCCTCCCCCTCCCCCCCCCTTTTTTTTTTGCAGTATAGTTAAATTATGGTAATGTGGTAACGTATTATCCCCACCCCCAGGAAGCAGAATTTTGGAATTTGGATAATTATTAACAATCATTAACTTTTTTATTTGATTGTCAAAATTTTTGCAGGTAAATTGTGCCCCCCTCCCCCAGTTCCAAAACGATGCTACGTGCCAAAGTTTTGACATGGATTTTAATGAACAAAATTCGCTGGAGATAAATGTTATCAATTTCCTTTCTAGCTTCATAATATTTAGGAGCATCGAGTGCAATGAGGAAACACAAGTTGACAAAGGACAAAATATAGGGCATTATATGATATAACAAGTTAAATTGATGCAAAGCATCAAATCGGCCGCAAAAATATATTTCATTTTAAAGAATTTCCACAAGAAAGAGTCCAAAGAAAAATTCCAAGTAGAAAAAGAACATGTATATGACACATTTTTACACTTGCTTTACTTTTCTGTGCATTTTTAGGTCACCTGAGTCACTCAGGTGACCTATTGCTATCCGTTCTCGTCCGTCGGCGTGCGTCGTGTGTTAACATTTGAACATTTTTAGCTTCTTCTCTGAAACCGCTTAACCAATTTCAACCAAATTTGGCATATAGCATCTATGGGTGAAGGGGAACAAAAATTATGAATTCCATGTCATGGTCCCTGCCCCCCTTGGGGGCTGAGGGGTGGGGCTAAAACCACCAAAAATAATGCAATCTTTAAAAATCTTCTTCTTTACTCCAGGACATCAAGCAGTCAAACTGTTGGCATCATTGTAATAAGCAGTGAGCCCTCTACCAAAATTGGGAAATTCATGGCCCCAGGGTCAGGGGTTCTGGCCCCAGGGTGGGGCTATATAGATCATATAGTGAAAGTGCATTATTTCTTTGAAAATCTTCTTCTCTGCTCCTGGGTATTAAATAAATTAACTAAGTACATGTACATAGTTATGAATAGCAAGAGTGCCTCTTCCAAAATTGTGAAATTCATGGCCCCAGGGTCAGGGGTTCTGGTGTTAGGGCGGGGCTCTATTGATTATATAATGAAAATGCATTAATTATTTGAAAATCTTCTTCTCTGCTCCTGGGTATTAAATAAAGTAACTAAATACATAGTTATGAAGAGCAAGAGTGCCTCTTCAAAAATTGTGAAATTCATGGCCCCTGGATCAGGGGTTCTGGCCCCAGGGTGGGGCTATGTAGATCATATAGTGAAAGTGCATTTTTTCTTTGAAAATCTTCTTCTCTGCTCCTGGGTATTAAATAAAGTAACTAAGTACATAGTTATAATTAGCAAGAGTGCCTCTTCCAAAATTGTGAAATTCATGGCCCCAGGGTCAGGGGTTCTGGTGTTAGGGTGGGGCCCTATTGATTATATAGTGATATTGATTATCTAGTGAAAATGCATTAATTCTTTGAAAATCTTCTTCTCTGCTCCTGGGTATTAAATAAAGTAACTAAGTACATAGTTATGATGAGCAAAAGATGCCTTTTCAAAAATTGTGAATTTCATGGCCCCAGGGTCAGGGGTTCTGGTGTTAGGACGGGGGTCTATTGATTATATAGTGAAAATGCATTAATTCTTTGAAAATCTTCTTCTCTGCTCCTGGGTATTAAATAAAGTAACTAAGTACATAGTTATGATGAGCAAAAGTGCCTTTTCGAAAAATTTGAATTTCATGGCCCCAGGGTCAGGGGTTCTGGTGTTAGGGCGGGGCTCTATTGATTATATAGTGAAAATGCATTGATTCTTTGAAAATCTTCTTCTCTGCTACTGGAGATTATTTAAACAAACTAAGTGCATGATTATGATAGGCAAGGATGCCTCTTCCAAAATTTTCAATTGGCCTCAGTTTTTGGGGTTCTTGAGGAAGGAGGGGGGGGGGGGGGGGCTCTATTGATTATATAGTGAAAAAGCATTAATTCTATTAATTAATCATTAATTAATCCTGTCTGCTCCTTAGCGTTGAGCTGATAAATAAATTGCTTAGCTATGATGAAAATGTGAGCTTCGAACAGAATTTTTAAATCTTGTAATCCTAGGGTCAGGGGTTCTGGCATAACTGGGGGGGGGGGGGCTTTTGATAATATAGTGGAAAAGTGTTAACTCTTTGAAGTCCATAGGTATGATGATGAGGGTAACTCTTCCAAATTTGTAAATTTCTTGACCCTTGGTCTTGGGTTCTGGTGTTAGGGTAAGGCTTTGTTCAATCTGTAGTGAAAATGCATTGTACCTGTGAAATTCTTCTCTGCTTCTGGGCATATTGGAAGAAAACTGAGTAAAAGTTTAAATGATATAAGTAAGCGTATTTCTACCAGATTTTTGAACATCTGGACCATTTGTCTAAGCATTCTAGTCCCGGGCAGGGCTCTATTAATTTGTATTCTACTGACAGAAGTTATTCCCCTTTTCCATTCACCTTTCATAATTAATCACTGTAAATAATGTATTTGAAAGGTTAATAGAATAAGATAATTATGCAAGAATGTTTATCATATAATTCAAAAAGTATTTTCTTAGTTTTAATAATCAGGTTGACCTGTAAGTAATAGATAAATAAAAATGAGACAAAAATAACTTATCTTATTAAAAGTTCTTCAAAGACCATAAGAGAGGTCAATGCTAGAGCTCTTAATATGGGTTTAAAAATAGTACAGAAGCACTAATAGTTTGTTAATAGTCTGCATGGTGATAGTGTTAAGTGGGGGACAGATTAGAACTTAATTTATGAGTTGATACTGAATACTAGACTTATTATTTTATTGATCCTGATCTTCCTACTTCTCTTGCTTTAGGGCAACAAAGCTTCATCTAGCTATCAGTGTATTTAACTTCTAAATTGTTGTATTATACTCAGGTGACCGTTAAGGCCCTTGGGCCTCTTGTTTACACTAGTTTTCAGTGATCAATTGCTAAATATTTATTCAAATAAAAATAAATTCATTAATTAATATGAAAATCGGACTGCAATAAAAGATAGGACTGTATTATCATCAAATTATTTGATTCAAGGACAAATGCAACAAATATCTAAAATAATTGATTATGAATGTTTGAATGCTGACAAAAAGGACACAAGCTTCACGTGCTGATACTTTAGATTTTTGTCACTTTATAATGCCGATCAGTGTTGTGATAGATAATTATGTATGTGAAGTGCAGAAGAAAATTCACTGTGTCGCAACTGCACTGTAAATTCAAAACAAAATTCAGTTCTTATTCCAATTTATTAATTATTTTAGGCATATTCGGAAACTCAATACGTTTTCTTTCTATATCTTACGCACGCCCTTGTTAGGAGCAGTTCATGAAACAACCTTTTGTAAAATCATTTAATTAATAAATGTCTGATGAGAAATGAAAAACAAATTGAAACATAATAACAACTATTTAGACTTAGTTTTAAGCAAATTTTTAAGGCTTTTATTCGTTACTTTTATGTTTGTTATCAATAAGGAATTATTCTATCAAAGTAATAAGAAAATAACGTCTCATTTCCCCATGTGCACATTCTAGAACACAACCACAAATAGATCGGCCGCTGCTGCGGCCGATAATGAAAGAGAAAACTATTACCAGTACAACTTGGTCTGTCAAAAAGAAAATCCGAAGATGGCAATTTTTTCTTTATTCTGTTATAACAATAATGCTACACATCTTACATTAATATATAATCTGTTCCATTCAATCATAACGATTTATTTACTTTATGTTACAGATGGTACATGCTTTCTTTTTGGGGATGCCTTTGGGTCTACTGTGCCCATGTCCACGTGTTGAAATTGATGAAAATTTTGCCAGCTTTTGAGTCAATAGAGTAGAAATATCCACAGAATCGGTGTGAAATAATTCCACGTTTACTCCAAGAGTAACAAACAGTAAACCATTCTTCTGAGTCAGGAAAGGATTGTCGGAAGCATTCAATTTTATCAAGTGGTGTGATTGACAGAAAAAGTCTGCATAAGAACCCGGTGACGTAACCACCAATGTGACGTAATGATTTTTATAATGACAGTAAAAATCGGCAAAATATACATTTCTCCATGGATTGTATATGACATAAGGAGCTACCATTAATCGTTTTTCACCAAAATAAGAATATTTAGGTGGTTGAAGTGAAGATTTGTCAAGAGAACAGTTGAAGAAGAGTCCGTTTATATTTCCATTAATAGGAGAGCGTGGGTCTCCGTTTTCGTCCTTCCGGTAAGGAATCATGAACCTTTTTATTTCATCCCAGTATTCCTGTGGTTTATCTCGCCACAGATAAGGTAGTGGAGCAGATCTGTTATCATTCTTTCGTATATACAGAATACTTCGTTCGTAGAGGTCTAATATTTCTTCTTCTGATAAATCTGTTTGCAGCAAAAAATACATATATAATTGTACAGTATATCCATATACATGT